GAGAGCGTACTGGTCGGTGAGAGGCTATTGGTGGCAGAAGGAGGTCTCATAGGTACCCCGGTCCTAAGCCATGGAGCGCTCTAAAGGTGGTAACCAAAACCTTGAAGCACACCCGGAAGACCACTGGGAGCCAGTGCAGCTCGCGCAGGAGGGGAGTCACATGGGAGCGCCAAGTCGCTCCAGTAACCACCTGCGCGGCCGCATTCTGGACCAGTTGGATTCTCTGGGTGCTCCTCAAGGGGAGCCCCGTGTAGAGAGCATTACAGTAGTCCAGGCAGGAAGTGACGAGGGCGTGAGTGACCGTGCGTAACGAGTCCCGTTCCAGAAAGGGATGCAACTGGCGGATCAGGCGAACCTGATAAAAATTTGCTGCTGAAGTCCAATAGATCAGACTTTGACTCATGACATATAGATCGCCATACTTCCAAATAAATGGAGATACATTTGTGGACAAGAAAACTAACTGTTCAATACTTACAATATTAGATGATAACCAATATCAAGGCAGCTATATTGATTTACAAAACTTCCACAGTGTTTGTGGGATCTATTGAGGAATTTATTTAAATTACTTCCAGTTAAATGCCACTGCATCTGTGGAAACTAAATTTTATCTGTAGTTTATCTGGCAATTTGTAGACATCTGTCCCTTTAAATATCTCAGTGATTGCCTGGCTCCCATAAATATTTATATTCTTTGGGGTCTTATTTAGCTATACTTAAAGTTGCTTTTCAGACTGGGTTTGGAGGCATATAAATTAATTAATTAATTAATTAATTAATTAATTAATTAATTAATTAAATAAATAAATAAATAAATAAATAAATAAATAAATATTATTCAGCTAAGATTCAAAATGAAATATACTGAATGTTTCATGTTGATTTATCCTGTAAAGCAGATTTCTAGGTAGATTAAAATTCAATAGCAATAGCAATAGCAATAGCAATAACACTTATATACTGCTTTACAGCACTCTCTAAGTGGTTTACAAAGCCAGCATATTACCCCCAACAATTTTGGGTCCTCATTTTACCCACCTCGGAAGGATGGAAGGATGAGTCAACCTTGAACCTGGTGAGATTTGAACTGCCAAATTGCAGGCAGCCGGCTGGTAGCTGAAGTAGCCTGCAGTACTGCACTCTAACCCCTGCGCAATTCTCGACTTACGACCACAATTGATTTATGTGGCTAAGTGAGAAATTTGTTAAATGAGTTTTGCTCCATTTTACGACTTTTCTTGCTACATTTATTAAGTGAATCACTGCAGCTGTTAAATGAGTAATGTGAGTAAATGAGTTAAGTGAATCTGGCTTTGCTTGTCAAAAAGTCACAAATGATAATTATATGACCCCTGGACACTGCAACCATCATAAATATGAATTGTCGACCATCCGAATGTAAATCACATGACCATGGGGAGGCTGCAATGGTCATAAGTGTGAAAAATGGCCATAAGTCACTTTTTTCAGTGCCACTGTAAATTTGAATGGTCACTTAATGAACTGTTAAGTCGAGGGTTACCTGTGCTAGCAAAATGAGCAAGGTTTGGTTTGTAAGAGTAAAAGAATAGGCTTATAGATCAGTAAGGTCCAGTGACAGAAGATTCCTTCTCGGAATCTTCAGGAGTCAGTCCATCAAATCTCATCCAACTCAGGAATCTCTGGGTAGCAATGGGGTGGGGATGGGGGAGGACTGTAAAGGAAACAGTGATATGTAACCCTCTTCCAGCCTCATCTGCCAATACTATGTTTGCTTCCCACGACATAGAAATTCAAATAATACGTGTTACATACAATTTCTGATGTATTTTCTTAACGTTGTATTAAAGCTGTGTAGCTTACAAAATGTCAAACGACTGCCATGCACGTGCAGTTCCAGTCTTTTTAAGTACTGCAAAAAAGTTCAAGCATCGGTATAAATAGATTTATATGCCAGAGACTGGCCACAATGAGATTAAAATGCATTTATCTATACTATGCCTTCAGCAGCCATAATGCCAACCCCAAAGGATTTCAGTGGATAGCAATCCTCTCATTTTTGTATTAACTTAAATTGCTTCTGGAACAAAACTTGCTGTGCTCAAGTATGGATGGTTTTTAAGTAATTTACTGTCCTTGGTAAGTGTTTTATGGGTCTGGTGCTGACACAGAGAAATACATGGCACAGTGTCACCATAACACTGCCAAGATCTTAGCCTCACATTCCCTTTGCCATTGTGACATAGCAGCTCCAGTTTATGACAAATTGCAACTGAAAAACTCTCAGTCTTAGTGAAGCATAAATGAAAATTAATGTTCTTGCAGCACAGTAACAGGAATCAGGCAGAAGATGGGTAAAACATCACTCTCTGCTCAAACAGAACAACAGGGAGATTAAAATCTGAGTAAATCCCAACCAACTGATCCCTAGGAGGCTCTTGTAGTACAGGTAGTCCTCAACGTACGACCACAATTGAGTCCAAAAGTTATGTTGCTAAGTGAGACATTTGTTAAGTGGGTTTGGCCCCATTTTATGACTTTTCTTGCCATACTTGTTAAGTGAATCGCTGCAGTTGTTAAATTAGTAACACGGTTGTTAAATGAATCTGGTTTCCCCATTGACTTTGCTTGTCAAGAAGGTCGCAAAAGGTAAGCACGGGACACTGCAACCGTCATAAATGTGAGTCAGTTGCCAAGCATCTGAATTTTGATCACATGGTCCTGGGGATGCTACAAAGGTCATAAGTGTGAAAAACGGTCATAAGTCACTTTTTTCAGTGCCGTTGTAACTTTGAACGGTCACTAAGCAAAATGCTGACTACCTGTACTGACATCTAGAGATTGGAAATGTTTTCCATATCTGCATTGCTTTACTGTATTAGTGATATTATTGTCCCAAAGATGCTTTTTTTCCAGGGGCAACTCTGGAATCTCCATAGACATTTACTGATATCATTATGCAAAAGTCCACATATGTTAGTTAGTCTTACTGTTTGGAGGTTTATGAATTCTGAATTTCATTTTACCCACAATTTTGATGAGAATGCCACTATTAAGCAAAACACAGACAGGAAACTTCTCCAACTTTACTTCTTTTTGCCCTCTAACCCTAGGTTGACTTTCACCCCTTTCCTTCTCATTGATTATGCTGATTTCTTCCTATGTTCCAAACAGATTAAACTACTTTAAGCACCATCTGCTGCTAGCCTATTTCCTGCAGAGCAGACTGTTGGCCAGCAACTCCAATAGTAAGAGAGAAAACGTCTAGACCTAGACCTAGAAGGGTTTTCCTACATGATAGTGCTCCTACAGCAAGTCCTTATTGGGTGTCTTTCCCCCGCCCTCAACTCTCCTGTGCTCCTTATTGGACGAGTAAAGAAAAGCATCAAGGGGAAGTTTGGCTAACTAGTTGTCAATCCTGATAATGGTGAGCACAGTTAGGCCAAGAGTGGTAAGACATTTAGAAAGATGCATTTTCTGTTCCAAATGGTTTACTGCTTAACCTTATGAGATCATATTAGAGTGGATGGGAAAGAAAGGAGAAAACAATCAATACCAAAAAAAAAAAAAAAAAAGTCAGTGAGTTTATCAGAAAACCTAATCGGGACATATTGTTAAATATCATAACCACGATCAGGAACTGAACAAAAAAAAACATATACCTTACTTTACAAAATAGGTACTTTAAAAAATAGAGTTGATAATAAATGGTAAAAAAAAAAGTTCATCGTATGTAACTAAATTGTCTTTTTTTTCTTTAAAAAGTATGAGATTGTGAAAGCTAAAGCAATAAGGGTGGGAACAGACATCAGATATGCAAAAGAATAATCTTAGGTTTTAAAGTGCTTTGGGATCAAAATATAAGTAATTGTGGGTATGAAATGCGAAACACAGTGAGTCTCAGACAGAAATAGAGGCTATGAAGGATGTGAAGCCTCCTTCAACTTCTCTGCCAAGAACAGTTTGCTGGAAAAGATGAAAGATGTAGTTAAGATGGTAGAAACTACAGGAATTGAGTCAATACAGAACCATCACCTATAATTAGCTAGTTGCCACTGGAAATGGATCCAACTTCAGGGGAGATCAGGCGAAAATATTTTATACTTAACTGTACAGACTAAATAACAAAATAAGGCAGGGAAAGGAGAAACAGATCATATTAAGTTAATGAGGGATGAAAATCTAAATCAAAGGAAGCCTACACTGTGCGTGAGAAATCATTCTACAAAGCTAAGTGGGGCTTCTCTTTTGAAAAGACTTGCAATATAAAATCTTGGTCCACAATGTGATTTGGAAACCACAAACAAATCAAGAAATCTTAAGACTAGGGGCTGAGAAGCCAAAAATAATGGGGGGAAAAAAATAATGGAAGTGGAAACAAAACCCCACAACAAATCTATTCTGCATCTGGTTCACCTTTCCACGTTTTAGCTAACTCCACCTCTTCTATTTCCAAGTTTACAGTTGCCGGAAAGAAAAAGGGTTTGTTTCAGCCCAAGTTTAGCCACCCCAAGGCAGTGACAAAAGAAGCCTGTCTCTACTGAAATGGCAATTTCCTCTCCAGCTTGTTCGCACCCGACCGTTTGTCTTTCCTCCCCCCCCTTTTTTTTTTTCCCCAAAGAGGCCAGTCCGAGGGAGAATCAGCAATATGAAATCCCGGATTCCTTTATGTACTCCGATCGCGACGAGCCCAGTGACGGACGTCCACCGGTCCCTTTTACGCCGCCGCCGCCAGTCAAGTCGGTTGCGCCCGAGTGAGCGCGCCGTTTCCCACTCCCACCTCTCTGGGCACAATGGTGCGCTTAGAGCGCGCCCGGCATCCCGGCTCTCTGCCGCCGGGGATAACGGGCTCGCTTAGCTCGAGTAAGGAGCTCGGAGCCTGGGAAACTCTCAGGGAGCAGGAAAGCGTCCTGGCTACTCAGCCTCTGGGAAGCCTGGGCTTGGCTTAGCATGTTTGCACCGAAGCTACGCACGCAGCAACGCCGGAAGAAAGGAAACACAAGCAGGCACATCCTTACCTCTACATTAAAATACTGCTCTGCTCGGCATCCGGTGGCACATAAAATCCAAAGCAAGGCTTGCAAGAAGAGGACCCTGGACTGATGCACGATATCCCCCCGACTTGCAGTGCTGAAGGCGAGTAAGATCATAGTGGACTATGTGCTTCAATGGAGAAGGAAGAGAGAAAGCTTCTTTTTGCTCCGGCCGCCGCTTTCTCCCTCCCTCCCCCTCCTCCTCTTCCTCCTTCCCCCTCTTTCGGAGACCCAAACAAAAACAGAACGCGCACACGCGACGTTTTGTTGTGCTAAAAAAGAAGGAGGAGAACAGGAGCCCAAAGCTGGCGAGGAACGGTTGGATGCAGGTTCACCCCACGGAGGTGGGAATGTGGTGGCGGGGGGTGGGGGAGAAGGGAAGAGGAGGAGAAAGGGGACTCGACCCTTCGCTTCCAAGCGCGGAGTGGCGGCAGCCTTTTAATAGGGTCAGCTCTCCTTCATCTTCCTCGCTTGTCCCGTCTGAGCGCGCAAGCCGAGGTGCGACTCCTGCGAGACGCCTGGTTCGCCCAGCGGCAAGCAGCCGCCGCTGCCTCTGCTGCCGGCGGGTGTTCGTGTGTGCCTGTGTGTTGTGTTGTCTTTTTTATTTTTTTTCCCTCCTCCTCCTCCTCCTGCTGCCGCTGCTGCTGCTGTTGCTCCTCCTTTTTCTGCTGCCGCCGAGGCCTTGGATGCTGGGCCGCCACTTCCCTGCGCTCCAGCCTCTCCGCTTCTGGTGCTTTTTCCTGCTCTCCTCCACTCGAGAATGTACATCTGCAGATCTCCGTAACTCCTCCTCTCGAGTCAGCCTCCTCGGAGAAATCTTAAAGGAGACTGCCCTTAAAAGCTCCTCCTGGATCCCAACAGGAAGGAGAGGAGGGGTCGCCGGCGTGGGGATGGCATCGTCTCCTTTCCAACCAAGCCCGGCTCGGCCCGGCCCGGCCCTGACCAGAGGGAGGCGGGGGAAGAGAGGTGCCTGGCGCGGAAGCTTGAACGCGCTGGGAGGGAGCGAGCTGCCGGTCCGCGTCTCCTAAAAACACCCACTTACTGTCCAGATTCGGAGCCAGGGCGAAAGAAGGGGGTCCCCAGGGTTTGCGCACGTATGAACGCTTTGCCTCCCCGGAATAAACAAACATCAGACCTTCGTTTCCACCGCTGCCTTGTCTGGGGTTGCCACACGCATTTCTTTCCAGTCGTTTTGCACAAAAGAGCTCTGAAAGGAACCGATGGGGTGGGGCGGGGTTGGGTCTGAATAAAAGATACTCGAGGTCCAGTTCTCGAGTCCCACAGAATCAGAAGGAAAAAAAAAAAGGAAGCCACCTTCGAAGTCAGCAAACTTATTTTGGGGGTTAAACCGGCAGGGTCAGCTGCCAGGTGGAAAAAGCCTTCCCTTCACAGGAGCTTTCAAGGAGTCCAAAGTCTGTATATTTTTCTACCACTTTTCCTTCAAGTCTGATGAAGTCAAATCTGCCTTTGAGATGGCCAAGAAGTCTTTGTGTTTCAAATCGTCTCTCCAGAGATGCTCAAGACTGACCAGGTTTCCATTAAAAGAAGCCATTATTTTCCCAATGGATTATTTCCCCACCCCACCCCCCAGATTGGGAATTGTGCCCCACCCAGGCTTCAGAGGAAAGGAAAGATGTATTAGAGAAAACATCAAGAGCAATACTATCCTTCAACTATAAAGCTCAGTACCATCACCAGGAAAAATATCAAAGAAATTGTAAAAGATTACAAAAATAAGAGAGGTAGAACAAAGGGGGGGGGGTAGGGGAATCCGCAAGCACATTTTAGAACAACATTAATTTGAAGAGAATTTAGCAAAGGAAACAATGACTCAAGCCATCCTCCGGGATTAGGACAAACAATAAAGCAAAGGGTTAAAATGAAAGAAAAATACCCCCCTGTGGCCAAGGTGTTAAGAGTTTGGAAAATAATTTCTTTCAGCTCCTCTGAAGAGGAGGACGCTTTATGAATGCATGATTTTATTTCTTTAACTTGACAAATGTGGGCTGGCAGGAGGGGTTCCTTTCTTTCATCATGATGATTTGCCCAAATCAATTCTAAAGTGTCTTGTTTTGTTTTGTTTTCCAAAATGAGGATTTCTCATTTTGTTTCAGGAACAGTGAAACAAAGGTACATCAGAGTGAGAAAGGATGCAGACATCCTTTCTCAATTTTAAATCAATATTATTTTTAAAGTGCTTCCTTTTTTCTGATCATGTTTCTTCTATTCCTTCCATGTTGATACATTAATGGGAATGCATGTAAGAGCACTTACTATGCCTTTCACTAGACGTAAAAGTATTGGTCTGGTTAACTGTTTCCATCCTTACATGCATGTTGGCTGAAAACAGAAGTCCCTAATTATGATGGCTTATATGATACTCTCAAAAACAATGACACACATAGTAGTTTTAAACTCTGGATTCTCTTAATTCCCTTTCTTTAGTTTTATTTCTTTTTCTTTGAAAGTGGTAAGGCAGCTTGTTTGTTCTTTTTTAAGACAGGCCTGGTATCCTGATGGTACTACCTATCATAAAGTGATTTAAAATGTATAAATACATGTTAGCTAGATTCACACCATGATTTATTTAACTTTGAATTGTTCAGTACGCATTCAAACAGTATGTCCAGCCAACAGTAAACAAATCACAGTTTAGTGCACTCAGCCATTATATTCTGCCAATGAAGTTTTCCTAGTTGTTAAATCTAGCCTGACAAAGAGATTTCTCATCTAGCCTTCTCCCTGTCATGCTAGGTTTGGGTGGCTTTTAAAATTAAATAAGGGGATACTTTGATATATGTAATCCCTGGCATCTGTTATAGTTCCATGTGTTATGCTTCAACCCACATACTGTACTTTGAGAGCATACAGAAAGAATGTGTACAGATCTGAATTTATGTATCCATGAAGTTCAGTCTTGAGAAAGAGAGATAATGCAGGGAATTGAAAAAAATGCATTTAACCCATTAATTTGTAATAGTCACATAATTCTGTGATTGCCATTTCGTGGTTTCCAAAATTCCAATGTATCATTCAGGAAAGATCCAAAACCAATTTCTGCTACCAGGTAAATTATTAATCATTTTTTTTCCCCCGAACAGTGAATTCTAAAGTGTAACGTTCAATTGACAATTATTTCAAGAGCACTAAATATGGCACTATATGGCACAATACGGCACTATCTCAGAATGATTGCCAATTATTGTCGCATCCTCCATTTCTATTATTTGCATCTGTATATCACACACCAAACAGATTTGTAAAATATGTTTCTGGAATCTAGTATGCTTATCCAAGAATGCATGCCTGTAACAGTTATACCTTTAAGGGATTTTTGTAAGCTCTTTTGAAGATACTTAACGTAATCCCTTCATCTTTCCTTCTTATCTCAGTTTTACAAGACAAATGAGACACATCTATAAATTGCAAATCATACATTGACTGGAATTAATTTTGAATCAGATTTCTGACTTTTAGAATGACCAAATCTGGGTAGCCAAAATCTGGATAGCAGAAAGATTTGAAGGTTTTTTTTTATCTATTTACTGCCATCTAGATCTGGATTTTTGTATCCCATATTTAGTACTCTTAATTGAAGTAAAATGTGAAATATTTGTTTGTTTGTTTGTTTGTTTGTTTGTTGCTACATTTCTGACAGGACACACCTGGTACACCAGGTGTATAAGCACAGTATTAAGCATAAAATCACTGATTAATAAACAGTGACATAAATTGAATAAATAACTAGCAGTAAACCACATAAAGCATTATCAGATCAGCAGTCAAACATAAGATGCATTTAGGAGTCCCAATCTTAAATTGATAAAAGTGAATTTTCACATTTCATTTAGAAACAGCCAGAGAAAATGAAAATTGCACAACACAACAGCATTTCTCTCTAAAAAAGTGATTTACTTGATGCTCCCCATTTTATGACAATAAACACAAAATAGTACATTAGAAACAGAAGTACTTATTTTATTGACCCTCGTGTTTGGAAAATAATTGCTTCTTGGTGTTTTGTATCTATAGGATCTGCTGCTGGAGGCCTAAAGGCTTTACATTTTTATAGTCAAGTTCCCTTTTCCTCACTGATATATTTTGTTACTATGGTAATCAAAAACTATTTCCATTCCATGCAGTTCACTAGTCACTTGCACTTATTTTAAAAGTGATAAAATAGAAGTTGGTGATCTGGAAATTGAGGAAGGAAGGAAGGAAGGAAGGAAGGAAGGAAGGAAGGAAGGAAAATGCACATAAGCTTGGTACATTACCCTTTCTTGTTTAAATAGCTGAAGATTCTAGTGATGTCACTGCTACGCACTGTGATCAATGACCTAAGCTACAGAAATGTTAGTTTCTTCCACACTAGAGGGGGATATATGTTTATTAAGTTCTTATTCCTTCATTGTTAGACTGAATTTATATTATTTTGAACTAAAAAAACTAATGCTAAATAGCAATCTGGAGAATGAGTTAATATTTCCCCTCCCTCACTTATGTACACTATGCTAGTTAATACACTATTTGATTGAAAATGAAATTAAATATTTAGTTTCATAAACTGATTTAGAACACTACAGATATACACAAGCATTAATTGAAAAATGCTACCTATGTCCAGAATTGGCTGTAAAAGATCTCATGCAGGCACATCCAGTCAATAGCTGGACAAGACCAAAATACTGCCTGCTTCTTTTATAATTATGCCAGGGTTCAGGAAATCAAATAGAAGAGAAAGTCTGAGGGGAATATAGCTATAAAAAGAACAATATTTAGAAATATAATTACATATGTATATATTTATTCAATTTATCAATTTTTGTAGCTGCCCATCTCACTCAATAACCTTGGGCATCTTACAAATCAAAAAAAATATGACAATTATGATACTAAAAACATTTTAAAACAATAAGAAACAATAAAAACATCCAAAATAAATATATAGATGCCACAAATTCATGCAACTGTGTCCAAAAATTGATCCTACCGGTAGTTACTGCTCCAGTGATCAAAGCTAGATCTATAATGATACTATAAGCATCTCCAAGACAACATGTTAATCTTAAAGGCAGTATAGGAACATCAGATATTAAAATCATGTTGATCCTCACTAGA